TATTGTACTCTGTATCTTGCCAATAAGAATAATTTCTCAGAGATGTTATCCTCTTGCTGTTGGCAGAAACATTCAGAGAATACTGTAGAATGTAAAAGGGCAGTTTTGCGATGTGAATGAAAACAGTGATTCTTATCATTTTGGGGTGCATCTCAATGGAATAACCTGAGATACACTCAGTATCAGCAGTAGGTACCAGGAACGAAAGAACAGCTCAAATTATTTAAAATTCCATGGTAAAATGAGTTCACAGGAAAAGATCCTTTATTCCTAAAAAAAGAATAAGATGAGAGCAATGCATTTTCCTTCAATAACTTATTTTTCTCTTTTGTTTGTATGGTTTTTCTCTAATTGTTTTTATGATCTTTTTCAATTATTAATGTAAGATGTAACTACCTATGATTGAAATATATTGTCTTTAACAAAGACACAGTCAAGAGGAATTCTGATGCATTATTTTCATGAGCATTAGCAACAGGACTTAACACTGTGCATCTGTTTAATCGAAGATTAAATAAGCTTTTAGCAAATTAAATAATTGCCTTGGTTCAGTCTTTTTAGTCCTAATGGCTTAAGACACAAGGACTCAAAGCTGTCTTTGGGACTGAATCTAGAAAAGATTATGAGCTGGTTCTTAGGTTCAGGGAGCGCCTTAGAAAAGCAATCTAATCCCACTCATATTTTGTGGCAACCTAATAAATATCAGCGATATTTAACTGACATTTCAAAGCTTCACGGGAGAGTCATTGCATTTGTTAGCCTTTAGTCTCATTCCTTCATCTTGCTTTAGTGCAGGAAATGGATGTTGCCAAAAATTGAGAAGTATCACTGAGATCAAAAAAGTGAATTAATTTTAATGCAAAAAAATTATTCACATTCAGTGAAAAGAAGCTCATACCAAACTGCCAAGTCTGATGACTGACCCTAAACCTTGTTCTTCAAGTTTCAGTCAGACTATTTCCATTAGCAGTGTTATATAACTAATGAGAGACTTCACTACAAAGACTTAAGGGCTCTCCTTTCCTGCTAGGCCAGCAGGATTTCTCCATGTTATTTTCCTATCCTATGCCACTTTCCAGCATGGAGGGCTCAGTCTGAGCAGGACACTGGGAGGTATTTCTTCAGAGAATGCTGCAGACCTAATTGCTCATCATGCAGCAGGGACTGTGAGGGCAGTGACTCCAAGCCTTCTTTCAGAATCTGCTCTTCAAGCTGACAACAGCAGCAGCTCAAAGAGCAGCTGCACAGCTGTCTGCTCTTTCCCAAGTGCAAAGAGTGTGCCTTCAAGCACACTGAAATGAAAAGGGAGAGAAGCTTCACACAATTCAACTGATGTTGGATTATGTCTCAAAGGCGTAAGGTGTCAGGAGGTGCGTTATAAACCTCAGGGGCTTCTGTTAGTTATAATGATGCTGAATTACGAGAAATAAAGAATGCTACCATGTTCTTTGTGTCACTTGCTAATGAGATTATTTCCACACAGGTCAGAAACACAAACAGCTCCTGGATGAAACACTTACCAACAGATATCAGTACATCTGAAACACAGTGGATGCTAGGAAACCATCTATTTGGGCTGTTACATCCAGATTAACAATGATGTATGTCTACACAGGTTAGACAGAGTGAAAAATCATGGCAAACAGAAAGGAAGATTGCTGCAAAAAACATTTGTTTGCAGATTATTTGAAAGTTCAGACTTTCAGGTGTATTACCAGATATTTATCAAAGTTGTTGAAGGTTGCAAGATAGTATCCAACTGCTAGTTTGCTTCTCTGAAACAGCTCTTAATCAGTGACTCAAGAAACACATAATATCTATATCCTGAATAGTGACTCCTTGTACCACTTAGTCAAAATCCGCCATTGATCATAAATCATTAGTATCCACATAAATGTTTTCATGTCCCAGTGTGATCCACTGACTAGTCAGACTCTGCTCCACAGCTGTACGTAAATGACTAGGTATAGAAACGATACAGAAACAATCTCAGTAAGCAACATTACCTTGCTGATTTTTCCACAGAGACTAAGAACAGCCAGGAAGGTTTACATAGGCCAGAGGGACTAATAGAAGGGAGATGCCTGTGACATATCTTAGATGAAAAATGAAATTGGGGCAGTCATCATGAATCTCCTAGTCAGCCAGGGAAATCTCTATCATAATACCTTTGCTGTCAGTACTCCTTTATGTTAAGAAGCAACATTAGGGTAGGAAATTCCTCATACTTTTTCAAATCCAGCCGAGAACTGAGCGCCATATTTTACACACAAAATCTGTACACCTGCATGCATAATGATATTGCTTCTTTAAACAGAGCAGGAACTTGATCTCTAATTCTTTCATTATTATCTGCTTACTTAAGGATTTGTAAATGGTAACATTTAGAAAGTATCATTGAAGTCAAGATACTCCCAGACTGAAATTTTTTACTCTCCCATCCTAAGCCTCTCAAGCTAGAAGAAATATCACTGAGCAGTAATTATCAGTAACAATTTAGTTATCTGAAATAAATCATTTTGATTTAAAAAACAAAACAGAAAATTACTTCCCTATCCCTGATATGAAAACTTTGCCCTACCTAATATGCTTAATCATAAATTATCTAGTAAAGACATATCTTTTAGAAGCAATGAATGGTATTGCGGGACTAATTCACTAAATCTGCCATAACACACTTGAGAGATAATTGAGACGTCAAGCCTCATCAATATCAACCTACTTAAAGTAAGGACAAGAGGACAGTGGAGGAATGATAATGAATAATGCCATTACGTGAAGCTAGTTAACTTATAGCTTAGAAACAGATACATATCAGTCACTACTCTGAGGAGGTCCTTGAATGTCATGAAAGTCTACATTGATAAGTATCTCAGTTCCTTAAAAAGCTTATTTCTATAGAAATTGATTGCTTTAGGAGGGCAGTAGTCTTCTTTGTATTTTAACTTCCTGACTTGTACCTTTGATTAAATTTTAACTTACCACACAGGAGTCCAAATAATGAGGTTAGAGAGCACACAGGAAACATTAGTAAAATATACACATTTTTAAAAAAATCTCTTTCTGACCTGGCAGAGGAAAATAAGTGCCAGATCTCTCAAGAGCTTCAAACCTCAGAGGAGGTTTCTGCTATTTTTCAGCACTATTAATTTGTTCTCAATCTTATTCTTAGTAACTGGTTGTATATCTCCTTATCTGATCAATAAACATACATATAAACATCACATTACTTTCTCATCAAATGTCATCGCAGTTAACATCCACTCATGCTGAAAATGGACACTGAAAACAATCCCATTTCCTGTTATCCTATTCTTTCTCCTCTTTCACTTCCTCCATTTCCCTCCTCGTCAGCTCACTCCCCATTTTGACATCCCTCTCTCATAGGGTATCATTTCACAGGTGCTCACTCCTTCCTTTTTTTCTGTACTGGTTAACTCCACAGCCTCCTTAGTATAGTTCCATAGTCTTCCTGTACCATCACTAAAACTCTTTTTCCTTTTTCTCTTCTTCTCTGAAAACATACTAAGTTCAGTAAGCTTTCCTCTGTAGCCATTGATGAAGGATGTAGGAGACACAGAAAATATTCACGAGTTTAACAATTCTCTGCCTTGACAATTGTAAAAACCTTTGCTAGCATTGTACTTCTCACTGCTCTTATTCATTTTATCTACAATGTACTGCCAAGCTATGTGATGTTCTGGACATTTCATCCCACTTCTTAAATCAACCTCATTAGCTCTGTACCTCCCATAGGATTTTCAGATCCCTCATCCTCAGACCCTGCCCTGAGCAGTTCCCTCTTCTTGTCTGGCACCTGGTGCATTCTCTGCCAGTTCTGTTTGTTTTGCTTTCATCTTACCCTAACCGCATTTCTGTGCCTTCCCCTATTCACACGCTCTCTGCTTGAAACAGCTCTTGAAGCTGATGACTTCTCCATTTCCCTCTTGATCACCTTCTCTTTCCTACTCTGTTGAAGACTGTCATACAAACCATCTTTTTCACTTATAATTAGTCAATTCTTTGATTCCTGGCAGAGAGAAAAATATTACATTTAGATACCGACAAACATCAATTTTCAGTTCTGCTCAGTGCCTTCCTTCTTTCTCACATACCTGGCTTTCTATTATTCATTTTATTTCACTGCTTTGCTTTCTTTCATAATCCTTCACCTCCCCATACCTGCATTATACTTTTTATGCCTAATCATCTCCTGCTCACTCCCTTGGTTTATGCCTTTTCTCTTTGTTTTTCAGTGAATATGACAGGTTACTACTAGATCTCATTCTGTCTGAGAACAGCCTACCTTATTCTGGGTGACAAAAAAACTAAACACAATAACATGGCAATTAAAATTCAGTAAGGCACAATCAGAGCTGGCACTGACATCTTTTTCCTCGTCTCTTTCCCTCTCTCAACAGCTATTACAATTTGGAAAATTTCAACTAATAAAAACCAAAACTTTATCCCGATCTCCTAGGAAGCACAGCTTGTATGATCAAAACCTGCTGATCAGTCTATCCTAATCACCTTTGTACTTGTAAGTCACTATCAAACAAATAATACAAAGAGAGTAAGGACAGAGAAGTTATCAGAGTTGAACCAAAGAGCAATCAAAATTAGCATCTTCATTAACTGTGGGATGCAGCAGCCAGTTGGCCCCGCCAGTGCAGGATGTAGTCCACCCATTTGGTATGCGCCTGGCTTGAGAGCAGCCTAAGCTCTTCTGGCACATACCCAGTGATACAGGTAATGAGAGGGAACTGGAGGTACAGATATGAAAAAAAAACAGAAGAAAAAACTGCAAGAAGCCAGCCTTCCTTAGCTTCCCTGCTTACAGTGAAAAAATCTAGGTTTATTTCACCCAACATGAAACCACTGTGCATTTCATCTTTTCCAGGATCAGGACATAACTCTGGCACACTAATATCTAAAACACAAATGACACATTTTTTCTTTTCTGTTTCTCCAATCCAGAGACAGAGCAACATGCTCCCTACCTTTTCTGAATTATACTGGGATTTGCAGTCACCAGCTGGGTTTTCAATCCAACATCCTTGCTGTATTCTCTGGATAGAGGAGGAAGGTTGCACCTGTGCACAGAAAGACATTCAAGATTTTAACTGACAGTCAGGATTGACAGGCTTCATCCCCAGTCTTTTTTATTCTGCAAGTTTGCAGTTTTAGAAGAAGAACTGCAAGCTGACAGAAAATGTGGAAGTGCTGTACAAACACTGGACCAAGCTAGGCAATCTCCTACTATACTACATCCCATACGCACAATAGGGCATTTTTGCACCAGACTGTGGGGAAATATACCAAAAAAAAAAAATCTTTTGTAGACATGATCCTATGAACTATTAAGCAAAAACAAAGTGACCTGGCACCTCTGACAGGTTGAAAGGCTACAGCTGTTATCTACAGCCAAAACTTTTTTCAAACTCTTTCCTCCAAATTCTCTTTTTCACTCTGCTTTGTCTTGTTTTCTAGCATCAGGCTCTGGATTGGTATCACACACATCACATACGTCTTGCAGGTAAATGCCCTTCAGTATAAAGAACTTACTAAGAAAATACAGAGAAAAAAATGCAAGTGATTACTTACAGTGTGCATACTATGTTCTCTACAGTCTTGTTCTGGCAGACAGGGCAATAATATAAAAAAGATAAAGTGATCGAGTAGATCTACTTTGGCAAGCAAACAGGGCTCCAAAAAACACACGTGGAGAGAAACATGCAAACAAGGAGCAGTCCTAAATACTCCTAATTAAAGAGGTGGAAGAAGAAGGAAGGATTGTAAATAAAGGTGAAAATATGAGGGCTGCTCCAAAAGTAATGTCTCCCACTTTAATATCTTGTCCCACAATATCAGAAGTAGATGTTGGTGGTATGGCAGTAGAGGCTGAACCCTCCCTCTGATATTCCATTACATCTTGTTGCTGTGTGTCAGAGGACAGCAGAGGGGCTGTCTGACAAAACAGCATCTGACACAGAAGTGAGTATGAAGCAAAGGTGTGGAATTAAATTCCTCCATGCAGAAAAAAATTGCACTCACTGAGATTCATCAGTGCTTGGTGAATGTTGATGGAAACCAAGCACTGGATGACAGCACGAGGCAATGGGAGGTGTGTTTCAGCAGGGTGATACTGGGTCACCTCCACTGGTGCAGATTCTTATGAGCATGGCATGCAGCTCTCGTTCATCACTGGCAAAAAAGGTAGCTAATGGTGACTATGTCGAAAAATAATGTTTTGTAGCTGAGAATTTGCTCTATCAAATACTGTGATTGTGCTCTTTGTATCTACTAGAGTTTTCTTAGAAATAAATAGGAGGCATCACTTTTAGAGCAAATGACATAAATTCAAGCTGTATCCAAAACTCAGCCCTGTTATAGAAATTAGTCACAAGAAATGAACTCAACAACAGCAATTACACTAAAAACGAGTGTCAAAACACTGCTTTCAATTTCAGAGTTGTCTAACTTCTTAAACCAAAGATATGAAGAATAATACTAGTGCTTACAGGGTAAAAACAAAACCAAGATTCTCAAAGAAAAGTGGAATTGGGAATTTTTCTGGAGCAAGACTGTTATTGTTGTTGGGTTGTTTTTTGAGGTGGTTTTGCTGTTGTTTTTTTTCCCCCCAAAATCTTGTACAGACAAGCTGAGGTGCATCTCCCTGCTGCCCCAGGGCCTCAGCCTGGCAGGGAGCTGTTACTTCAAATCCACCACTTCTCCTCTGTTCCCAGGGAGACACGGGTCTCCATGCCTGGGTTGCACTTCTGGGAGAGGCAGCTTCATTTTCTTCCCATGCTCCCATTAAACTCTCTGGCACTCTGGTTCAGGAGCACAGCTCCAGCAGTTTTCAATGGTAGGTCAAACAAATGTTTGTGAAGAAAGATGTGTGTACAGGTGACCTTGCCCTAGATTAAAGAGATGGAATAAGAGACCTCTGGCAGGCCACAGTTTAATGATTCCTGATTTGAATAAACATAGACTCATATGGCCTTTTTTGATTGAAGTTTATTTAAAAGCACTGTGATGGACCAAGATATCTCCTTAGTTTTATCATCTTAATTTATTTCTCGCACCAGTTGCAGAAGCAATACTTAAACACGCTAACTCCCTTCAGCAGTAAATCACTTTCCCGATCTGTCCTGTGTGAAGTATTAAGAAGTGGCCTAAGCAGCCAACGGGAAACTCAGCAAGAAGTCAGTCCATCTTCAGAAACTCTTTGCCCTTTTCTCGAACGGGTCAGCAGAGTGCTAAGTTCCATGCAGGTGAGTAATGTACCAAGAAGTAAAAGATTCACAGTAAGATGCATGTGTTTTTTATCATCTTACTCTTGCTCCTCGTACTGAGGAGTATGTAAACATGCAGGAAAGAAGGTAGAAGCAGGACAGTGTCCGAAGTCAGCATTTTTTGATATGAACATAAATGAAGGAGGAGAACTTATTGGCCAACTTACTTTTGTATTTCCCTGCTAAGGCATAGATTTGATGGGGGGAAAAAATCATCAAGAAAGCACAGCAGTTCATGCGCGCCTTTTTCACATGCAAGGCCTTCCAGTTCAATAGGTAGAAACAGCTGACTGAAATGAGAGGGATCCTTCAAACTTCACAGGGCATAAACACCTCTTCTGAGTTTCGCCCAGAGATAAGTACAACTCCTTCAGGTGCAGAGAATCCAGGCAGCTTGGCTGAGTAATGGCGTGTGCATTTGACAGATGTTATGTGATTACCTAGCTATTTGTACGTATACCAAATGCTAGGGAATAATAAGAATTTAAAAGGGATTTTGAATATTCATTTCTACTCCTTTGTAGCACCTTGACCAGAGTCAAGGCTATAATTAGCTATGGCAAATGAAAGCAATATTTTTTTGGACTTGTTTACTAACCCCAAAAGCAGCATCATATTTAACATCTACAGCTCCATCTGGGCTGGTATGGCTAGATGGCATGGCAGAGTATAATTAAAAGATAGTAGCTTGTCCTTCCCAAGTTATGATAGCCACTAGTCAGCTTGGACATGATGACGAGTTTCTTCCATATTTGGAACAAATTCACTAGCAAACAGCATGGAAAACATCCCCCAGTCCTCTCCCTGCCAGATGCACAAACCATAGCAGAGACATAAAAGGCAGTTGGGAGACAGGGAGAATCACAAGACATATAAATATTTCTTCACAATCTAATGCAGTGAAAATACGTATCTTCTGTCAAATACAGAGAAATAGATGTTTATGATTTAGTATCCAACACTTCTTTCTTAAAATACTTGCTTGTGTGAAGGGAAAGGGAAAATTTTAAAAGTAACATCCTAAAAATAAACATTACAAACTTGAAAAACACCCACATAACTCAATAAAAACCTATGGTAACTACTCTGACTAAACATGTAGACCGTATGCCATGCACCTTTTTTTATTGCAGATGAAGTGTGCTGTGGCCTACGGGCTGAAAACTGCTGCTCTTTTAATCTCTATGTTGGTACAACTGTGTATGTAGAAGATGCTCAGAAATGTGATGAGTCTAAACTCATTAATTAACCTTAGTGATTAGTGTTTATTGAAGAAGATGGCTGCAATCGTATTTCCATAAGCTGTGCTGTAAGTGAAATCAAAAGCAAAGCGAATCGAAGGAATGAACAATGGCAAAACCTGCCACGACTATTTTGCACTGCAGAAATAGTATAAAGCCATCAGACACATTTCCTATTAGAAAATGCAAAATATTATGCAAGTTATTGTTATTCTCTTCCTCTCTCAGCTCTCAGATTATAGAGATCAGATTTAGAGAAGATCTGCTAAATTTTCCACCTGCTACAAAAATATTCTCTCCCAGTGGCATATTACCTTTTACCCAACAGAACTGAAATATTTTCATAAATATGACTGCACCACTAATACAATACAGCCTGCAGGCAGTTTCTGGGATTTTTGCAGGTTTTTACCTGCTGCTTCTTTCCAATCCAAAATAAGTTCAGTACAGACAATGGCTAGTTTACCCTCCCTAGAGAGAGAAAAAAAGTCATTTTCTCTGATCAGGATCTAACAGCTGCTTTAAAAAATGCTTTTATTGTTTCTGTAACTGATTGCTCCTATGGTATTTTAACTTCCTATTGCATCTACATAATATTACCATATCATACCCTGCAGTTTCTTATTTTAGTCTCTGGAACATTGAAGGAGCTTTGCAGTAGTGGCAATCAGCACACTGAGTCCCTCCTTCTGTGCCTTTGTCTTCAGTTTGTTGTATTTCTTTACTTTAACATCAAAAGCAGTTTTGTTCCTTGAGATGCAAGCCAAAAATTATAGTAATTCTGTCTGCTTTAGAGCAAGTTTGTATGGCCTTATAATAAGCTATCAGGATTCAATAAGTAGACTTGCTAAAGCGGGAGCTCATTACGCATTTACCTCAAAAACCAAAGAAATTCCATTTCTCATCTCTTCAGAAGCAGTCTTCCAGTTTCTGCCCCACAATGTTTTTCTTGTTCATGTTTAACAAAAAGGGGCCAATTTCTGTCTCTCCTCCTTAAAGAATGCGGATCTACAAAGTGCCAAATTCAGTCAAGAAAGCAGTAGCCGATTCAGCACCTTTCTGACAAATTCCTATGACTTCAAAAACTAGAGGTACAGCAAATGTGGGGAATTCAAAACAAGATGGCATCAAGGAAAACGGTTTTGTCTTCTCTTAGACAGAAGTTAATCTGAAGGGAGGAAAAATGTGGAAATACTTTACCTTGTCCCAACTTATTAATCCTTGCCCTATGAATCAGTATCTACTCATCACGATTTTAATGGGTTGCATATGATTGCATTTAGAGTTGTGAAGGACGAAGAACAGTATAAGACGAGACTCCAATAAGGAATAATTAAAAAGCTCCTAAATCCCTGTTCTGTGACACTGTACGATCTGTCACAACCACAATGCACCCATCTGCAGATTTCCCCCACAGTACACACATATCTGCAGAGGCCAGCCAAAACTTTCTTTATTGCCCTTTCTCACACTTCTACCCAAATCACATCCTGCAAAGGGGATAAAAAAAAAGAAAAAAAAAAAAAAAAAAAAAAGTACCCCAGGCAAATTATAATTGATTAATCACAACTGAATAGCTTTGAAAAGTCAAAAGACTGAGCAGGGGGAAGGGCAGACAGTTTGTCACTGAGGTTTCCATCTTACCGCATGACAAAATCCGCTTGATCTATTTGTTTTCCGCAGCCGCTCTTTTTGAGAATCCCACCGTTTCCCACCACAGAGCATTTCTTCAGTGGCAGCTGGAAGGGTGTAGCCTAGCAACACAAAACAAGGACTGTTTTTACAGAGGAGAACACATACATCTTTGTAGCAGCTGCTCCTGGAGAACCAGGGAGCTGGCAGGGCTCAAAGTGAGGAAAGAAAACGGAGAATGAGGAGCTAGGAAAAAAGTCCAGAAATTAGCTGGTAAGTAGACAAAGGACAGTTCTTATCCCTGTTTCCCCAACCAAAATCCAAAAAAGATGCAACACAGAAGAGAAGAACAGTTCTGCATAAACAAACTGCATAGTTACAAAGTTGTGATAAACATAATGACCAAGATAGGCTCTCCAAATGTGTCTTCTAGCCAAGCTGCAGAGAGAGGAAAAAAAATTACCAAGAAAAAAAAACCATGAAAGTGACCTTTTACATAAAAGACAGCTCTGGACAAGAAAGGAAGGAAGAAGGAACAATGCGAGTACAAAAGGGACTCAGGAGTTACCCTGTTTCCCTCCAGGGATCTTTCACTGGGCTGGGTCACCCTAAAGCATAAAGATATTTAGAGCATCCCAGCAGCTTCATAAGTGCTCAGCTCTCCAAATACAGCACAAACAAAAATTAGAAAACCATTTTAACTAAGGAGCCCTTGTCGCAGCTGAGCAGGGCATTAAATTGCAAGGTCAAATTGTCATGCTATCTTATGTATCAAATTCAGTATTAAATATGATTTGCACAGTCTTCTTCACTCCAGAGGATCTCAAAGCTACATATGGAACATCTTCCTGTCAGCCTTGAGTCATTCACCTTTAGTGGTGTTGAGGCAGTCATTTAAATAGCTCACAGTACATCAGTGTAGCCCAGCACAGATATGTGTGTATAGATATGTGTGTGTGTATATATACATATGTAAAATAGGGTCAAGGGGTGAACAGCATAGGAATTTCAAGTAGTATGATAAAGTTATAAGAATGGACTCCATCTACAACACAGGAGTTAATATTCTCTTCATGCAAAAAAAAAAAAAAAAAATTGTGCAGGAATTTTTCATTTATCAAACCTGTCAAAACCCGACTTTGCAGCAGAGACGGAAGCTACTGTCTGGGCCTCTGAGAATGCAAACGCCACTGTGACAGGATACAGCATAGCAAAACAATTATTTTCACCTGGACAACAAGTTCCAACAGTGGCAACACTTACTGTCACTTAAATGTACAGAGCAACGTCTAACATGGCATAATGTATTCACGAGGCATTACAGCAGTGTACATAGCATAGAAAACAGATCCAGTGCTACAGCACAAACTCTGCATTTGTTGGTATTCATTTCTACTGTATCTTCTCCCTTAGATGTATTTGTTTCACCATCTATTCTCAGCAAATTAGATTCCATTCAGCTAGTATAAATACATAATCTGCTATCTAATAAAATAAATTAAAGCATTTTGCGTATCCTAATATATGCTAGAGTAGAAAAATCAATTCCAGTTTACTGAGGCCCAGCCACTGCTGGGAACCCAGGGACAGCACAGCAGAGCAATACTAAGTATGCAACTGCATTCTGATTCTGCATCCGCCTTCCCAAGAACATTTTTTAATTTACCCAGTTATTGAACCAGCAGCATATCTTGAAATTCAAAGGACTTTTCATTGTTGAGGTGACACTGACCAAATGAAAGCTCACAGGTTCAGTACAGGGAGTGGGGTAGGGATGGAGGAAATTTAGAAGTGGTAAGTTTTCATAAATAACATCACCATTTTTATTCAAGATATGTCAGAGCTCTTCCAAGACAGCCAGTTATGCAAAGACAAGGCTGCGACAAATAAATCACAAAGGCAGCAGCCATTAACTTAAGAGCCGTGGTAACCCTGTCACGTAATTTCTATCACTTCAGTACATGTTGAATTTCTCTAGACCCCCAAAACAAACATTAAGGAGTTACTAAATGCTTCAAAATTCTCAGTTGCAAACAGCCCTTGATATTGCTAGAGATGAATTCCTGTCCTTCAAAGGAGGCTTATATCCTGTTATGTTCAAAGATGATTATACTACTTATCATTTGCATATATACTTTCATTTCCACGAGCGTATGAATCTTTGAAACTCCTGCCCTTCAGAGAGCCCAAGAGACAGACAAACAAGATCAGAACTGAAAGGATGATTTGAGGGAGTTAAAGGGAGGAAGAAGTGGCAAATAAAACCACCACTGTGGCCTAACCTGTGAAGAAATCCACTCATACACAAGAAGAAAACCAAGCTGAATGCAGTTCTCTGTGAAAAGCCACCACTCTCAGAAAAGCCCACAGAAGCTTTTGCCTCCCCCAACAAAGTAATGAAAATTCTGGACATGACACAGACAGTTTGCATGCCATTGTTTAGCTTAAAACATTCAATAGGTTCAGCTCCCAGAAGACTATACTTATAAACTCAAGGCAGACATTAAGTGTCCCTGATGCTTGGAGGCATTTCAGCTGCTTTTACCCTAATGAAGAGAAATTCCTTAGCATGCTCTGGGAGAAACATGTTTGTTTTTTTTTTTAACATTGCACATGACTGTTCTTCAGTCATTCAGGTTACAAACCTGCATATTGCTCAAATTGCAGGGACATTTCAGGAACTCTGTTCTCAGTCCATTTGTACAAACTGTCCAGTCGTATACAAATCATACAATTCAAGTGCTGCCTATGAGCTGCTATGAAACACGTGGCTCCTCTGTCTCTGCAAAAGGCAAAGAAAAAGCAGTACACTCCTGGGCTTTGAAACTGTTAGGAATCATAACCCTGTGATGCAGTTAGCAGCTGCAGAGTTAACTCACTGCAGGACCTCCAAAGGATACTCACAGGACAGATAGCACAGGTAAAGGATGTTCAAAGCTAAAGTGCTGCGGGCTTCATTCTGTGACTTTACACAAGCATTCAGCTCATTCCTTCCTTCGAGCTGACCAAAATATAAAATGCAAACATCTTAAGCAAAATACCATATGGAAGCTTCACCCTAACATGCAGTTGAATTACTAGACCTGTTAATACCTTTCCACACCACTATTTGGCTTTCAAGAGGTTTCCCCGCATCCACTTGTTCCTACCACTGCCTCACAGGGTACAGACTGTGGATTTAAGGTTGAAATTAAATAATTATCAAAACCTAGAGTCATTTGTTTGGTTGTTTTGTTTCATTTAAGAGCAAAAAGCACTGAAGATGGACTCCAGTAATGATTTGTTTTCTTTCGCTACTCTCTTTCTTTCTAACTGATCTTATGCCATCTTCATGGCACAGGTAATCTGTCTTCAGATGTTTTGAATGTTATGTTGAAGAGGTAGATCAATGCTGTAACTTAGTAGAGAATTAAACCATTTTTACCTTTTTTGTAAAGTAGTCTTAGGCATAAAATGTCAGTAGGAGGCAATTTTCAATCAAGAATGTTACATTTTTTTAAGGTGACGGTGCTTTTTGGAGAGAATTCTATACAGTAAAAACAAAATTTCTTCTGAGTTTCTATTACTAGAAAAATATGTTTCAAAGAACTAATAAAATATTTTCTAACGCTCTTCCTCTTTACCTCCCACAGTGTAACTCTTTGCTAGGAAAATCACCACGTACTGGGGACCCAGCTGTCATTTATGCTAAATACTCAAAAAAGCTCAGTTGCTATTCTCCTTTGAATTATAATCTGGCCTGACAAATGCTTGCTTTGGATTGTAAAGTTGCAATAAAAGTATTTCCATTTATATTAGCTTCCTGAATCTGCGCTGTTTTTACTGTCAACAGATTTGTCATTTTCCTCATTGATTAAATTTTAATGAACAGATTCCTGTGGGTGGACTAGAAAAATCAGCACAACAAAACCAGTTTATCCAGTGTAACAGAAAGAATATAAAAATAAGTGACCAGTGCACGTCCATCTTTAAGCAATCATTACAATAGAATTAGATAATATCATTAACTGAAAGAATAAAAAAGAAAAATAAACAAACCCTTGTATACTGCCATAAGCAGGGTCAAATCCTTAAAAAGTTTTAAAAACAAAAAGAAAATAGAAAGTTTTCATAAGGTGCTTTCTGAAAGGTATCTCTTCAAACGAAACGTAAAACAGAGACAAAACCAAAATAGTGAAACTCCACTGATAACCAATGAAGATGCTCTAGTTCCTATTTATGTAAATGAGGTAAGAAGCTGCACATCCCCCTATGAATTCAGTGACAAATAAGCACACAAAGCAATAGATTAATGGCTCCCAATTGAATACAGGAGTAATTTAACAGAGCATCTATGCAGCAATTCACTGATTAGTTTCATCATTCATCTAAGTAAAAATAAATCATTGTCATCAGTTAAAAGAACATTACACAGTACTAATAAAACATAATTTATTTTAGATAATGGTATTCTAATTCACTTTGATTTCATTGTTAAGTTGTTAATGTGTTAATTTTTACCCACTCACTGCCAAAGACAGTTAATCAGCAACCAAGTTCTTACTGGAAAAAAAGAAAAAATTACAGTGTTCAGCCTCTGATTTAATACTGATGATGTCAAAAACACTAAAAACATAGGGAATATAAATTAAAATAAAATGGGTTTTCAAATATGCATTACTGGATTTGGAACAAGATGCTGTGTTTTACTGTTCGCTTTGAGAATACAGCATCCTGAAGAAAAAGGCCTAGATCTCCTAATTCTTCTAAGGAGCCAACAAAATTGCAAGAGTCAACAAGAAGCCAAATTCAGCCCTGACTATTCTTTTCACCCTTCTGCATAAGGAAGCAGCTGACGCTTTAAAGGAAGCCTATATTTGTCTTAACCAGAGGTAACATGGCATTGTTTTTCATGCTGTTGGACATGGTGGGATGGAAAACACTCCTTCTTCTTTGCTTTATTGTTTACAAATCATCTTTGGTATGGCAGGCCTTTTGTTCCTCCACTGGAGCTGTCAAGCAGGGAGACATGAAGGCTCGACAGCAGCTGGCTCCAAAAACATCAACGTCACTCACACAGGGACAGTGTGTCCTCTGTAGGGGATCGCAGAGGGCGGATGCAGCTCCTCACGTTTCAGCTGTC